GTTCCTCAATGTAGCCCCGCTGGTGGATTGCGATTCCACCTCCACTGGTACGGCCAATCTCAAGACCCAGAAACCGAATGCTGGTTTCCTCAGTCGCCCATGACAGCTCGGAGGCCTTCCATTCACTCGTCAACCACGCTTGCACGGCCTCAATGATCTCAACCTCCCCCACATAGAGGATGTCGTCCACATACACATTGATGTAGGCCTTCACTTCCATAGACCCATCACCCGAAACAACACAGACCGACCAAATGTTTTCGTCGGCCCGATGTTGTCGGAGGTAGATGTAGCCATCGCCAAACGGGATTTTTGCACTCCTCAGCCTTTTGTCTCTGAACCGTCCCCATAGGCGAGGTGACCGACGGAAGCCATAGAGCGCCCGATCCACCCTCCATAGTTGCAGGGCATACTGAACACGGGCCAGCTGCAGCACCTTAGGGGGGTAGAGACCGTACACCGTCTCCTCGTCATCATCTTCATCCTCTCTGATCGGTGCCAGGATAAAGGCGTTACGAATGTCCGTGGACGCTAGGTACCACCCTCTGGCGGCGCCATACACCAACATGACCCGCAGGCTGTCTGTTTGGCAACCTCCCGCATAGGACTCTTCCATAGACTGCTTGCCCTGGAAGTTCCCACAGATCACCAGCCTCGCCTTTCGTTTGTAAAACGCCGGATCACCGGGAGGTAGAGGACGTCCATCATCATCAACAACTACCTCCTGATCCGGGGGCTTAACGGTGAATACCCCCTTTGCTGGGAGAACCACCAATTTCCCTGACCTTTCCAGGGCCCTCTGTTCTTCAACCGTCACGGGAACCAGCGCCTTGGCCTTGATCAAAGCCTCCGCTTCCTTGATGATGGCCTCGGACCAGCGACTGATATGCTGCTTGACTTCATCCAAGGCAACCGTGTAAACCACCTTCAAGGGGCCCGGCAACGACTCCAACAAAGTTTCAACACCATGAACTTCATCAGAGCCCTCTGTCATACGGCACAAAGAAAACCAGCTTCCAGCATCATGTCGATCGCAGTGGATTACCGCTTCACGAGAATCCAGGGCCTCACTGGCGGTCCTGGTCGCGCTGCCCACCGCCTCTAGTTCCTCTTGGAGTTGGTGAGGAACCCTTGAAGACAACTGCTCCTCCTCATCCAACAAACGTCTAGTCCACATACGGGTCCACATCTCGGCCTCAACATCCTCAGGCTCTGGGAACCAACACGGACCATTAGGAACCTCTCCATCATCAGAACCGTCACATACCCGAACCGTCTTTAGCATGGGAGGATCCTCTGGTACAGGGAGAGGGAAACCAAGACCACTCAGCTCTTGACGATGATCACCATCCAGCTTTCTCAATTGGCCAACGGTGTGGGCAATGAGCGTCCACTTGGGTCCGCCAGTCCAGGGCATCGTCTTGTGCAGCCTCTTTGGATCTACTTTGACCACTTGGTTCAGCACAGGCGCCACAAATCCAACCTTTTCTTCTCCGGAACATAGCTCCAACCGGACCGTAGGGAGACCTTCTTGCGAGCCTTCTTGCCAAATTCCTCCTCCCTGGAAGTCGCCAAGGGTGAGAACATAATTTCGCGACCCCCGGAGATTGAAACGATCCTTGTGGGCATCCGTACAGAGGTCTTTGGCAACCGTTATGGACGAGAAAACAGCTTCCTCCCCACACTGGTACTTCATCACGGCCGCAAGATAAGCTGCTAGCTTCCCATGTCTAGCAGTCGCTGTGGTAAGGCCGGTCCAAGGTCCCCGCTGGTACGCTCCGAGCGTGGTGTGGATGGAGGGCGGGTCATTGGACTGCCATGCTGCAGCCCTTTGTTTCTTGGTCTTGCAGAACCGCTCGCTCTCAAGAACTTGAAGACAGTCCTGAACCGAGAACCGCCCTTCCCGAAGGTAAACATCAGCCAAAGACTCTGCCGTATCTCGACCAGACTTCCGCCGAGAGGTAGAGCTGGACATCCCATTCTCATTGCCAACCGAGAAACCACTCGAAACAACATCATCAGAAGAGGCCCCTTTATCCACATCATGCATCACCGCCAAAGACCGCAAAGCACTTCCACCACTTGCTGGCCCATCCCCAACCTTGTCAAAGCCCGGGATCAAACCAACACCTCCTGCAAGCTCCACAATAGAGCTTTTCTTGCGAACTCGCCGAACTGGAGGATGAGCAGGTAGTTCACAATCTGCTTCCGAGCCTCCTTCAGGTACGGGTGGCTCCTGGAACTGACGCACATTCGTCGTGTACCACAAATGACCCTCATCTGTCAGGACCAAATGCCCTCCAGGAACTGACCGCACGGGACCCAGGTAAACTCCCTCCACCCATTTTGGTAGGAGATCAGTACGTCCTCCTTGTCCGTACCCCTTTCGTCTCGTGAAGACCTTGGATCCAAAACGAGCGACCGATGGGGCAGATTGACCCCATACCTCCGCTTGTTGCTGAGCCGAGGCGGTTTCGGCCGCGTACGGCCACAAAGAAGCAACAACCTCAGTAGGAAGCCCGCTCAACTCCTTGGCCTGCTGCAACAGTACACGCATCCGCATTTTGAGAAAGCGAACAGCTCTCTCAGCAGTCCCGTTTTGCGAAGGATCATCGCCCTGGGTTGTTGAAAGATCAATGTCCCGGCTAGCTGCCCACTGCTCCAAGGATTTAGTGGTATACTCCCGGGCGCGATCAGCATGAAGCTTGTGTACTGGCAGCCCGCACGATCGAAGCTGAATGTAGGCCTCCTGCACAGCCTTCAAGGTATCCGCGCTCTTCCGGGCCTTCATAGGTCGGACAATATAGACCGAGGAGAACTCCAATGGCTCCGCGAGCTTCTTCAGGCCCTCTGCTTCAGCATCTTTATCCACCCGTGGTTCGTCTAGATCAGCCCGTACTGGATCGCCTCGAGGATCATCTGGTCGATCTACAGCCTCAGATGGATCACCGTCTTCAAACAGCCAATCTTCTCCTTCAGCAGGGCCAACGACCACCTTGTCACCCTCCTTCGTCTCGGCCTTCTCTCCCTCAACCATGGTGCCCGGCAGTCTTGGGAATCTGTAACAGGCCACGAGAAGGTATTTGTGACCAGCCGGCCCCGTGGACCGAAAAGGACCTGCTGTATCTATAGAAAGGGAATAAGCAGTAGGATGGCTCACCTTCCTATGCGGTTTTCCAGTGGATCTTTCGATGCAGACCCTGCAGTCCTTTCGATACGGCAAGTGGTCTCGTTGTAAATGGAGACGCCATTCATCTACGTCAAAGCGACAAAGATGGGGTCCAGGCTCCTCTCCAGACCCTCGGGCTTCGACCCTTGGACCATTCTCATCGCCCGGGATTGGGTGAGCCTCTTCCATAAAGCCCATCCACGATCTCCTCACCAAAGAAGACAAGAGGCTTTCGTGCCTCCGAAGGCCAACCCAAGCCCTCAAGGCATGAGCTACATTGGCCACCAGCTCCAACGGCCACATTGAACCGATAGGGTCCCCGGGCTCTGATGGCCCCATCTTAGTTCCTTGAAGATGCCATAGGTCAAGGTTACCTCCAAGTATAGTGGAGCGCCCATTCATTGAAAGCTCCACCTCACCCATCAAGGCGTCCATGGCAAACGCCTTCCAAAGCGGCGACTCAAACAGAGAAACCCGATCATCACGACGATCACCGTCCGGGTGTTCTAACATGAAACCCACATGCGGCTTCACAACGGCAGGCATTAAGGTGCCTTGCCTCCAGGCCTTGCACCGACCTTCTTCTGCCACATACCAGAGCATCATCATGCGAGTGATCAACTGGATCTCCTTCTGGTACTGCTCCTTAGCCTCATGAGGACGAAGAGGTACTGGATAGCTCTGCCTTGGAGGTCCGCCCACAATGGCCTTCAACCGGCCTGAAATCGCTGCCCAGCACAGCAGCTTGAAGACCCCGTCCCTCTTGTTAAGGTCCAACGACCGTGACGCGGTCACATCCACATTGATCATCACCTCACTGCCCTCCAGGGCCGCATTCCAGAAGGACGATCTCATTGTAGACGTGCACTTCGCTGCCATAGCTCGTTCATTTCCAGAGAACAGGTGCACCGTCCATGACTTGCTGGCATACATTGCCTTGCGCTTCGCCCGCGACCATGGCATACCCTTGAGCAGCTTCCATCCGTCCTTGGGACCACACGGAACATCTTCAGGTACTCCAAGTAGCGCCTCCGCCGGAACCGAAGCAAAGGTAGGGCATCGATGAAGGAACCCTGCCATAGAAGTTCGACTTCCCTCCTCACATAGAGCTCGAAGATGCCGCTGCCATGTCCATTCATCCCGACCCTGCTCTCGAAGAGTCCTGACTTGGGCCTGCAGCCCATCCACAGTCTGCTGGAATTCCTGAACTCTAGCTTGCTCTAGCTCGCTAATAAGAGTCAAGGCTTGGGAGACTGGAAGTACAGGACAATTTCCTCGAAGACGAACTCTCAATCGTCCATGAACAGGGTGAATCACAGTCAACCTTGACTGGGTCCACTTGATCTGGCAGCCCAACAGCTGCACCAGTTGGCCCATCGGGAGGATCGGCGAGTTGTCCCCGCCTTCAGAAAGCAAGGTGCCTTCCGTCGTTTGAGGGATCGAAGTTCCCTCTCCGGTGGCCAAGGAAACATTCACTCTCCTTGCTCTCCGCAGCTCCTCCTCAGAACGTGGGGGTCGGAACGGGTGGCTCGCCCCACTGTCTAACAAAGCTTCTTCCTCCTCAGGGAGTGTTGCCGAAGAGGAACTCAAAGTGGTAGCGTGCAACCTGGCTTCATACCATTCCACCGCGCTGCCAAAAGCACAAACCTCAGGGGACGGCTCCTGAACCCTCATAGCCTTCAAACGACGTACTTCATCAAGTTGCTGCTGAATCACCGTCAAGGGATCAACCGATGCAGTAGTGGCGGGCGCCTCACTCTTGGCCGTCAGAGCCTTCAGCATTTTGTTGGTCTCCGCCAGCATTTCCGACATCTGAGACGGGTCCATTTTGTTAGCCGTCGAGGTAGAGCCGGAGGTCGTAGATGAAGTCGTTGGAGCGCTCGCAGCATTCTGGGTTGTGTCCCTTTGTGTCGCAGCCGCCAACGAAGGAGTCGAAGAAGGAGCCGCGCCGGCAGCCTTAGCAGCCTGGGCATTGTTCCCCCTTTCTGGAGAGGAACCAGCCTTGCCAGCCGTACATTCCTTCGCCCTGTGCTGCTTTGACCCACAAAGGATGCAACGTTCGGACCTGTTGAGGCCGGTCCACGAGTGCTGAAAGGTGCAGTCACGTCCATTGCGGCACCCGACATCTGTGGAGAACCATTGACACGGTTTCTTCCCCGGTGGTGCCTTAGCCTTGCCATTTCCCTTTGGCACAGGATCACTGCCCTGCAAGCCCTTCAAAGATGCGGATCCCGTAGCTGCCGGTGTTGTGGCCGCCGTTGTGGTAGAGGTCGTCGGTGCCGTAGTCGACGAAGTAGCGGCCGGTTTCCTGACCAAGGACCCAAGCTGCTCCAATTCAGCCAAGAGGTGTTGCATGTACTTCAGGACATTTCCTTGGTTGGGCCGAGTATCGATCTGAAGCTCCGTCCTCGCCAGGGCCAAGCGGAACTTGAAGTCACTGTTCTGCTCCGCAGTCTTCTTGACAATGGCATTCAGGGACCTCACTTGCAGGCTTTCGTCAGGCAGGGTAACCCCTAGATCAGATGCTCGTTGTAGCAGCCTGTACCACCTCCGGATGCTCACGACCGCCTCGCTTGGGCCCGCTGCGGATTCTGAAATGTCCAGCTGTCTCAGCAGCTGTGCTCGGTCTTGGGCTCCGCCGGGCTGGAAGATCACCATCAGCCGGTAGAGGATCTGGTGGACCCCCTGCACGCGGTACGCGATGAGGTCGTCCTTGACCCCCTTTGGCAAGGAGCTCAACAGCATCGCCGCGACCTTCTTCTCTAACCGGCGGTATCGCTCCTCCTTAAGCTCAGCCGTCAACTGAGCCTTCACCCCCAGCCTCTTCACCGGTGAGAGCGCTTGGTACTCGGTATACGCAGCCTGGGCCACCTCCAAGGTCTTCTGCCACCACTCCCCCGCTCCACTAGCGAGTGAGCCGATCTGCTGCTCCACCAGGTACAAGTAGTCCTGAAACTCTATCGCTCCCGTTTCCGGGCTGTACTCCGAAAGCTTGGGCAACTCCGGCATCCCCTTTGCCTCCACATCCAGTCCTTCACCCTTCTTCAACAAGAGCTGTTGCAACTGGGTCATTCCAGTGATGAGAACCTCGAGCGGATTCGGCTCCCGATTGGCCGCATCTCCAGTGGCTGGTGCCGTCGAGGGTTCCGCGGGAGCCGATCTCGGTGCCTCTTTCGCTCCTTCAGCCGAGAAACCTAGGCCAGGTGGCACCGACACATCATAGTCGCCAAAGGTCTTGGTCTCCTGGTACTTTGGCTGACGGTATACTCGCTCGCTCTGCGGAAAGCTGTATCCATCTCCATCCAAGAGGCCCGTCACACCGTAGGCAAAACTAGCCCGACCCAGGCCCTCAGCCGGTCTCGTAGGTGACGAAGATGGCTTCCTCCGAGTTCGCCCCAGCGGCGAAGTCCTGCGATCCAGACTAGATGTTCTGCCTCTGAACTGATCAGACAACATGTCTTGACCCATCTCGGCATCCCGTTCCTGATGCCCCACTCGTCCTTGCCCCTCAGGTACTCCACGACTCTGGGAAGCTGACTGATGATGCCCCTCAGGTACTCCACGACTCTGAAAAGCTGATTGCTGATGCCCCTCAGGTACTCCACGACTCTGAAAAGCTGATTGCTGATGCCCCTCAGGTACTCCACGACTCTGAAAAGCTGATTGCTGATGCCCCTCAGGTACTCCATGCGAGGGTGCAGCCCGACGCCCTTCTGGTACGTCACGCAAGGATGCAGCCCGATGCCCTTCTGGTACACCATGTAAGGATGCAGCCCGATGCCCGTCAGGTACACCGTGCGAGGATGCAGCCCGATGCCCTTCTGGTACACCGTGCGAGGATGCAGCCCGATGCCCTTCTGGTACACCGTGCGAGGATGCAGCCCGATGCCCTTCTAGTACTGTATGCTGCCCCATGTCATCTCTCAGAGGGCCACGAGTGGCCTCACGGCTCCTCATTTCATCTTTTAACAGCCGATTCTCCTCCTGAAGACGCTCCAACGATCGACGCTGACCCTCCAAAGCTTCCTGCACCTGCCGACGAACTTCTTCTTGGACCACTTCCCTTGGTATAGACCCGGTAGACCCTGCATCCGTCCCCGGCCCTTGTTGAGTCCTCTGCCCTCCATGTAGAAGAGGAGCCCGCTGGGCCCAGCTTTCCATCACGCGCCGAGCTCCAACCCCAAACAAGGGTGGATCTTGTTCCCCTTCTCCCATGTCATCCCGGAAAGGTGACGAAGGTGCGGCAGGATACAAGCGGTTGTGGGGAGATGCCGGCTGGGAAGTAGTGTGTTGCAGCTGCTCCTGTTGCACAACCAAGCCACCCAGTTCTCTCGAGCCCACAACTTGCTGACGCGTCATCGTAGTCCTGGTCTCCATGCCGCCTTGCACTTGCGTCCGTAGGAAATCGCCTAGCCGGGTCATCCAGTTCATCGTAGCAGCTGAGGCTCCACCAAAGCTTCTCATCTGTCCAGCAGGTTCCACAGGGCCTGCCATGCCCAGGCGTTCCGGTTGGGCTGGCAAGGCCTCTTGGTAAAAAGCCGGAGCAGGTCCACGAGGAGCACAATCTCGATCACCGCCTCCCATCTCATGCCTTTCTGCAGACGGCGAGTAAGCAAAGGCAGCCAAATCGCTTTCTGCAGTCGGAGAGGCTCCCAAAGGTCTGTGGGGCACTCCATTCGGCAATTGCTGCGGCGGATGAGGGCCGCGATCATAATTTGGCCCGTGGGTTTCGCCTTCCAACGGTCTGGGTTCCTGCAGAGTAGCATCGCGAACTTGGGCAATCATAACCTGTTGACCATCAGGTCGTTGATCTTGAACCCCAGACTCCATGGCAGATCGGCGACGAGCCCTAAGTAACGTAGTTACGCAAAGAAACTTCGAGGGTTGTGAAGGGAATCGGGAGTCCTGGCAGGGATGACCTCTAAGATCCTAACCCCACCAAAAACCCCAACACCCCCGAAAAACCCAAAGCGCCGGCTTACCAACGGACTGTGAGTCCTCACCTCAGCTCGGCACGTTTTTTCCATCTTGAGCCAACGTACCCGCCGGTAAGCTGCTCCAGAGGCATCTGTGCACACTCTTTACAGCTGTACTTATGCGGAACTTTCCCTCTCTCTAGAGGATCAGCACATCCCAGCCTTCTTAGCTGTAAGACAAAACAAGGACTCGCATTATGCTAAGCACCACATGTGGTCCTGCATTCCAACATAATTCTAAATGTAAGGTTTAGCAAACCCTAGGGTTTATTTAGGGTTTAGCAACCCTAGAGTTTAGCAAACCCCCATTCAGGGTTTATTTAACCCTAATTCAGGGTTTAACAAACCCTAGGGTTTCGCAAACCCCCATTCAGGGTTTATTAAACCCTAATTTAGCGTTTAGCAAACCCCCATGCAAGGTTTATTAAACCCTAATTCAGGGTTTAGCAAACTCTAGGGTTTAGCAAACCCCCATGCAGGGTTTAATTCTAATTTAGGGTTTAGCAAACCCTAGGGTTTAGCAAGCCCCCACTCAGGGTTAATTAACCTAGGGTTTAGTAAACAAGGTTTATCAAACTTTAATTTAAGGTTTAGCAAACCCCCATTCAGGGTTTATTAAACCCTAATTTAGGGTTTGGCAAACCCCCATGCAAGGTTTATTAAACCCAAATTCAAGGTTTAGCAAACCCTAGGGTTTAGCAACCCCCCATGCAGGGTTTATTTAACTCTAATTTAGGGTTTAGCAAACCCTAGGGTTTAGCAAGCCCCCATTCAGGGTTAATTATTTAATAAGCAGGGTTTATTAAACTCCAATTTAGAGTTTAGCAAACCCCCAATTAAGGTTTATTAAACCCTAATTCAGGGTTTAGCAAACCCTAGGGTTTAGCAAACCCCCGGGACCAAAACCTACAATTGACGACCCACAGCCGGAAATTAAGGACCCGGAGCTTAAAATTAAGGACCGCGCCAAGACCGGACCTAAAATTAAGGACCCGGAGCCTAAAATTAAGGGCCCGAAGCTGAAAATTAAGGGCCAGGACCGAAAATCTAGGGTTTAGCAAACCCCCAAGTAAGGTTTATTAAATTCAGGGTTTAGCAAACCCGAAACCCAAACAAAACTCGGAAAATTCAAAAAAACTTCCGAAAATCCAAAAAAAACCAAAAAAAAACCCAGTTTAATATTCTCAAAAACGCACCCCGCACACGAAGCAAGCTCAATGGACAGGGTCCGTTTGCGCACCGCCATCGCCCCTGTAAAAGCTACACAGACGACAACATTTCCCCCATCCACCCTCCCCGCCCCTCCCTCCCCCCCCCCCCGCCCCCCCTGTCCTCCCTACCAGGAATGTTTCGAACTCCTGCAAACAGACACCGACAACAAGCAGATCGAGTACCAGAGAACTGTCATGGACTACATCATCTCCTTCGTCTTGGAAGCGCCAAAGACCACACCCAAATCCAATGAACAGCTGAGGCTAATCGTGCACGGACCGGGCGGCAGCGGCAAATCCGTCATCCTCCGCGCAGTAGCGCACAAACTGCGGCAAGCAGGTGTCGGCGTGGTCATCACGGCCCCAACAGGCGTGGCGGCGTTCAACATCAACGGCGTCACACTCCACACCGCACCGTCCCTTCCAGTCACAAACAACAGCTACGGCAAGTCGACGGACATTCCACCGCCGCGGGGTTTTCAGCTCGAGAGCATGCGCACGCTCTGGAAACATGCGAGAGTACTCTTACTAGACGAGTTTGGCTTCGTCTCGGATGAAACCCTCGAAAGGATCGATCGACACCTGCGACTGGCCACCGGCAACGATGCGACCGCCTTCGGCGGCATCCACCTCGTCCTCTTCGGAGACCTCTACCAATTGCCACCGCCGCACGGCAAGCCCATCTTCGCGTGCGAGCGACACTGGACCCAGTTTCGATTGCTCGAACTGCAGGGGAATCAAAGAGCCGCACTGGACCCCGTGTGGGCAGAACTCCTGGCCAGGCTGCGCATCGGACAGTGGACAGAGCAGGACGTCCGCATCCTCCAGAGCAGAGTCAGCCGCCGCAGAAACGGCGTCCAGCCAGCTCGCAACGCCATGCACCTTCACGCCACGCGGGAGGCCGTCGCCGTGACCAACGCACGCATATTTCACCACCACACCGAGCAACAGCAGACCCGCTGCTACGAATGTCCCTGCATCGACACGTACGCGAAAACCGGCGAAACCGCGGACCCAAGCAACAGCTACATCGATCCAGAAGACACCGGTGGACTCGAATCCCTACTCACAGTGGCGGTAGGCAGTCGAGTGATGTACAAACAAAACTGGGACGTGAGAGACGGCCTAGTCAACGGCGCCTGCGGAGAAGTCCAATCCGTCGAACTCCTAGACGACGAGGTCACCACCATCTGGGTCAAATTCGACAAAGCCGGAAAGAGATGGTGCCACCTGCACCAGACGCCCGCCGTCGCCGTGGAACGACGAAGTGCCAACTATTGGGGGAAGAACGCCCAGTGGATCCAGAGACGACAGTTTCCCCTCGTACTCGCCCACGCCAGCACCATCCACAAAGCACAGGCAGTGACGCTGCCCGAAGGCATCTTTGCGGACCTGGGTCAAAGCATCAAAAACCCGGGCCAAGCGTACACGGCCTTGAGTCGCGTGCCCAAAATGTCTCTGGCCGCACTGAAGAAGTTCAACCGAAACAGTCTCATTTACAACAAGGACGCAGAGTGGGCGCTGACGACACTGTATTACGCGCAACACAAGCTGCCCACACACAGCAATGAAGGCATCGAAGCCCTCTGGCAAACCCTCGCCGCCGCACACGAAAAGCCGATCCACTACAAGAACAAACTCGCAAAGCTGCAGAAACCAGACATCTTGACCACTGACCTCTTCGCGCACAGGAAAAAGCCTGCAAAACTACAGAAGAAATCCGGCCCGCCCCCAGCTCTCAAGCCCGGCAGAACAAGTTGCTGCGACAAGCAGGCCAGCCAACCCGTCTCACGACCAACGCAACGAGCCAAAACCCGAACTGCCACGGCGACAACCAAGAGAAGCTCAGCAATCTTTTTCCAAAAACAGCAACGAGCTCTGTGCGGATTGCGCGCACTCAACAACGCTCTAGGTGACGACATCTTCGGAGAGGCAGACCTCGTCTACGCCGCCAATCAGTTTCTGCTCGAGAACCCGGAACTGCAAGACTGCACCGAGGACCACATGTCCGGCAACGGCTGGTTCTCGTCCGAGGTCCTCAGCACGGCACTCAATACGAAGGCCATGAGCCAGCACGACCGAGTGACCTGGCGGCTCGACCTCAGGCCACTAACAGCACCAGAAGACTTGACTAACTACGTGGGAGCCCTACAAAACCAGGACAACCAGCACTGGATTGCGTACAGATGCTTCAACGGCGAGTACACCAAGCTCGACTCACTCAAAGCCGGCCCCACGATCGTCAGCAGGAGCGCTTTCCTGCAAGAATTGCGGGAACATCCCCACACGTACGGCATTGCCAACATCTAGTGAGCCTGGCATTCAGCCGACACACACGCACGAGCAGGCAAGCAAAACACTGGAACCAGAAAACGTAGTAGTAGTAGTAGTAGTAGTAGTAGTAGTAGTAGTAGTAGTAGTAGTAGTAGTAGTAGTAGTTGTAATTGTAGTAGTTTAGTAGTAGTAGTAGTAGTAGTAGTAGTAGTAGTAGTAGTAGTAGTAGTAGTAAGTAGTAGTCGTAGTAGCAGTAGTAGTAGTAGTAGTAGTCAGTAGTAGTAGTAGTAGTAGTAGTAGTAGTAGTAGTAGTAGTAGTAGCAGTAGTAGTAATAGTAGTAGCTCACCGCACGGCCAGGCCCCTCCCGAAATGCCTTTCCCGCAAGCTTCCGCGCCCGAGACCAATTTAAGCTTAGTACTAGTAGTAGTAGTAGTAGTAGTAGTAGTAGTAGTAGTAGTAGTAGTAGTAGTAGTAGTAGTAGTAGTAGTAGTAGCTGGCCACTGCTGTCGCAAGTCGCGAGACTAGTAGTAATAATAGAACCAGTAGGATTAATGTATCAGTAGTAGTAGGTAGTAGTAGCATTGTAAGTGCCGAAAGCATCCTTTGTTTGACCATCCACATTCATCGTATGTTTTTGAGACTGTCTTCCTCCCACTTCTCATTAAACGGGTTTCCTACTGGCCATTGCTGTCGCCCATGGCCTTCTCATCCCCCGATGAATGCGCCGATGGCAAAGGGAAGAGCCCGCCGAGTAAGACCAAAAGGTCCAGGAAAGTTCAGTTGGCCGCCAATGCAGCAAAGGTAAGATAAGACGCAGAGTTTGTCCAGACACGTCACATTCATGTCTGTACGATGCGATGCGCCGTCGCACGTCCTCCGTGATGGCAGCTTTTGGCGGCTCACGCGCAAACAGGCGGACCTGTTCACCTGTGAACATCGCCGAATCATGGAAAGGTATCTCATCCGCAA